AAGTATTTGCTCAGAGTCTACTTGAGAATGAGAGAAGTGGGATCACCTGCGAGAACAGAGATCATGTTCAGCTCCATGTCTGAGTACAGCTCCCACAGGCCCTGGCTCTGAACACACATCGTCAGTCAGGTCATGTGTTGAGTATCAGAACTGTGTGTGTGTGTGGGTGTGTGTATGGTCGGTGTGTGTGTGTGTGTGTGTGCGTGCGTGCGTGCGTGCGTGTGTGTGTGTGTGCACATAGACTGACTTGTAGTTTAAAGCATAGCTCCATGTTGAGCCAGTGGAGCGAATAGAGACCTGAGATGACCTGAGACACCTGAGGGTGTGACAGACAGACAAACACACAGAAATACAGTGAGTGTGTGGGTAGTTTGCTACTACAGGACAACGTAGCTGCCTTAACTGACCTTCTTGGTACCCAGTGCAGGAGTTGTGTGGGGTCTTTTGCTGTGTTTATTGAGAAGGTCCTGGAAACATGAGGCAGAATGTTCCGGGTCCAGCAGCCACCCTGAGACCTGCGGGTCCTGGATACGACATCCTGCCACTAGAGAGAGGACGGCTCTTTATAATATTAAGCATAATGAATACGTGGTAATGTGTACTGATGGCAGATTGATTAAGCTCGAGTCCTTGATTAATGCTGAAGCAAGTAGTGTTTTTGAAGCAGGAGTAACACATTAGGTACTTGTGTTTCTACATGTGCATTTATGTGTGTGTGCTCTGCCTTGTTTCCAGCTGAGGTCTCGTCTGTAAAACTGCAGCGCTGTACGGAGCACATCCTTGGCTTTATAGCACACCACCAGTTGAGATCTTGATAGCACCTGTAGCAGCATATCTCTACAGCACACACAAACACACACCTGTTTTAAAAGTAGGAACATACATAATATCTTTCATACAAACACTTACACACACCTGGTAAACAGCTCCTGGCTCTGGTGTGTGTGCTGCTGAGCCCAAGCAGGTGTGTGTTCTAGTTTCAAGTAGACCAGAGTGTCGTTTGGCGCGAGCGAGTCCTCCGGGTTGCTGCGTGCGAGGCTCATCAGCATGAGGAGGCCACACACTTCTGGAGTGAGCTTCTATCTCAGGCATCAGAGAGGGAAAGGAGCATTAGCAAAGAGTTAATGAAGGGTAATCAGTTCTCACTAATCTTATATCAACAGGGACAGATACTTGGTCTGTTTATATTTACAGATGCAAAGAAAAATGTAATGTTGATTTAAGACTGTTAAAATACAAAATAACTAAAGGTGCTCACCTACGATATAATGATGAATGTAACCTATATCCGCTAGGGTTGGGCCATTAATCCTACCCTACGATATTGTCGTAATATTGACATTAAGGCATTTGATTATAAATATGGGGTTTCACCGTATCACCCAGCCCTAATTGACTTCCCAAAACTCCCCCGTTTCCCTGCAGTGTTGCTTACCTGTTCTGCGTCTAACTGAGTTGTTCCGTCTCGATACACCAAGGTAAGCACCAGCGCCTCGCTCTTCCCCGCCTCCTCGAGCATTTGCATCCTTTCCACTTGGTTCATCTTCCCAGAATCCTTTACTCTGGGGTCAGATGTCAGGGTGGCAGTCAGGCAGCTAGCTTTGGATTGGTTCTGTGGCTCGTTGCCGTCGGCCTCGTCATGGGATATCTTTGGCCCGTTTGGTTTGGCCCGCTTGTGCTTGAGTTCTTTGCCGGGCACAGAAGCCGGCGTTTGTTTGGAAGCGATCCTAGCTATTTCACGGCACCTTTCTGCCACCTTACTCTGTCGAATTTGTCGCGTTTTCTTCAGGGCATGTGTGTCCTTATCCACTTCTAACACATTTCCTGTTTTATGTGAAGAACTTGCTTCAGTCTCTGGTTCACGGATAGAGGTCCTGGCTCTTTTCAGCTCATCGACTCCTTCTTTTCCTGCCTTCTCTTGTGAGTATTGAGGTGGCTCCCACTTTGGAGCACGCTTGGTTTGGTGGATTTTAGAAGGAGGGTCACCACATTGGTGTTCATGCTTCCTCTTTAAAGGGAAGGAAGGAATCAAGGGAAGATGACGTGAATGGGAAGTAAGCAGGCGGCTCTTGTCAAGTTTTGCAGCAGTTGAGGACAAGTCCTGCGCTGAGGAGGAGGAGTTTTGTCCAGCAGGAACATGGCTCCCTCTGACATCTCCACTAGCTGTCTGCACACCAGAAAAGGTGAACAGTGTGCAGTCAGACGGGGACAAGAGAGGCAAGAAAAGATTCAGATGGACTTATTCTGCAACTCCAGAATGCACTTGTAAACAGACTCTGTCTCACATGCTGGGTTAGCTTTGTTACAGAGAAGAAATCAATACAAAGCAAATCAGTGTAGGAAAGTCAATGGAGTAGATAGCATCCCTTATCTAATTACTCAGCTTTAATGTTTGGATCTAGTTGGATTATATAGGGATTTGTGAAAGGTGGTGAGCAAGACAAAGAGAAGCAAAGCAAGCAGGGGAAAGGGAGGATGTGAAAGGAGGACTGCTGCTCTCATTCAGCCACCAGCGCTGCGTCCCAGACCAAAACACAGACAGGCCAGACTGTACTGTTTGTCTGGCAGTCTGCCTGAAGTGGTGTCACTCACAATCATTCACACTTATTAATATTCCATGAAGTAAAACAGAGAACGTCTGCAGGCTGGATGACAATCGTTATTTCATTATATCCAATTTGATTTGACTGTTTACATGTAGGTATATATGTAAGCAGTAAATATGGTCTGTGCTGCAAATGTTATTTTAGGGTTAGGGTTAAGGGGTGCAAGTGATGGGAGGGGAACACGAATAATAAAGATTGCTTGATTTGATAGAAACGCATGTAAATGACCAAAATGTATGTCAAAGTTAGACTCCCATAGGAAAGTGGTGAAGTGGTAGGATTGAGAAAAAAACGGAGAAAGAGGGACAGATGTTTTGAGTCCCATCTCCCAAAAGTACAACTTCACCTTCTGATAACCTTTGCAGCATCTTAAAAAACATCTCAATTATTCATAGCGGCAACTCCCATCTCTATTTATGCAAAAGCACTGATGGTGAGCACATGTACTTCATATTCTTTGAAAGCTAAGTTAGTGGAAGTTCTGAGGATTTTCCAACCACATGTATGTCAGCTGTGTTCTTGCTATGTGTGGAATTCCTGTAATTCAGCTCCCTGAGGAGAGTCTTCCTCATTTCCCTGTAAACACAACCCGTTTTCCTGCTGACAGACATGACCCCCCCCTCCCCCCAGGGTGCTGTGCTACAGGATATAGATAGAAAACTGAGGCAGGCCGTGGCCTGTAGCTCAGTGCAGGAGAGAGTGAGAGTGAATGAATTGCTGCTTTTGCTGCTGATTGTAGCGTTATAGTCCTGCACCTTTTCCCCCCCACTTTAACGGCTCATTTGGGAGCTATAACCACGCTGCGATCCTGCCGACGGCACCCAGATTGATTTCTACGTGCACCGGGGAAGCCTAATCCCCTTTAAAAGCAGCTATTTAAATGTCAGGACTTTTTGGCTGTGTAGCTAGGATTACAGACGTAGAGTGGGAGACAGATGAAAACAGGGGGAAAAGAAGGATTTCTGAATTGAAAGACAAGTAAACAAATCTACAAAAGGGAGCTTAAATGTTTCCCCAATTAAAATGTTGAAGCAAAGTGGACAAAATGATAAAACTCAAGATTTTCGCCTCATGTCTTTCTCCCATGTTTATAAGTATGTTTTAAGCATAGCTGTCATGTTATACAGAGTTGTTTATATCAGATTTGCTCCATAGAGACTCACATGTACGTTGTCATTGTGCAGTTGGTTCCCAAGGTTACACGGAGCTTTGAACTTCGACCTTTTTGCACCGCACTCCTGGGACAGCGTTGGCGTGGAAGAAATGTATTGGTCCATGCCCTCTACAGGAGAGGAGGTAAGAGCATTTCTATCACATCATCACTTTTCGAACACATCCTCAATCAATGACCCTACTGCTGTTATGTAAGCATGTGTTTGACTAAGCATGTATGGGCGCTTACACAGTGTGTGACACCTCAGCAGTGTGTGACACGACAAGGTCAGCCAACACCAGCCATCCTGATTTGTTACAACACCTCTTGTTTGCGAGTGCGCTGTTCAGTGTGTGTTTGTAGACGTGTATGCGTCTGAGTTGACTCAGCATTGTCTCAGCAGTTGAGACTCAATCTGCCTTGCTGCGGCTGTAATGTGAGCCGACGCACAACATCCCTGAGCGGTGCTCTGACAACGCCACTTCCATGAAAGAAAGATGGCTGAAGAGTTTGACACAAGCTCAAACACTTCAGCATCCCCTGTGCTACTTTTTCTAAACTAGAAACAGGCACCAAAAACAGAGAACTGAACTGTGAATTGAACACACTTGACTTTAAATGTAGTTTTTTTTAACTAAATATACTGGTCCTCATGTATATAACACGGCCCCATTACTCTGGACATAACAGGTAACATTTTAAAGTTTTTTTCAGATACAGTTTCACTTTATAAACACATTCACATTTTAGTGAAGTTCTTTCCATTTTAATAAGTACATTTTAATAATTATTTGAGTCCCTCTCCCCCTTTAAATAGGTAGCGATAACCCTTCTATTTTTCTATTTAGAAGAACCAATGATTTAGCAAATTCTTAGTCTAACTAGTTCATAATTCAAAACTCAGTTTGTAGTGGAGGGTATTCACTTCTGCAATTGGTTCAAGCGTTGACAAAAGAAAGTATTCTAGCGCACCCTAGTGGTGATAAGTTGAAATACACTTTAGTCAGAAATTCATCACAGATCGTGTGTTTTGTGTTTACTATTATTTGAAATTATTTTTAAAGCTAAAACGTAATGTTTACCTTCTCAGTCCCCATAATAACTCTCTGACACAGTATAATTCCTTTCATAACGACTTAGAAACTAGCAGCCTTACCAATCAGGCATTTACCTGCAGATGAACTCTCATTGTCGCAGTCCACAGGTGGCTTCACAGTCTCATTTCTGTCTCCCCCCTGCTCTCCTGACACAGTCTCTCCTCCAGGCTTCTCACTGCCCTTTCTACAATCTGACTCACACAGCCTTTCTGTCAATTGGACATCAGAACAATGCTGCTGCTCCCTCTCCATCTTATCTTTATTGCTTGTGGCAATTCTCTCCCTCTGCACTTCCAAGTTGACCTCCATCACATCAATCCTTTCTCTGTTTCTCTGCAGGTTATCAGCAGTGGGGCCACCCAGGGCTAATTTGTTGGGCTCACACAGCATCAGTGGGTTTTCTGTGCAGTGTTTCTCTTCTGTTTCAGTCCCTGCCTGACTCATATCCTGAGGCTTTTCAGCTTGGCAGTGGCTCACATTGCGTTCTCCCAGTTCCAAAGACACGGAAATCTTTTTTGGGCTGCGAGAGTGAAATCCCACTGACGCCTCTTCATCCTCCCTGTCAGCTGGATGCTCCACTTCTTTGATTTCAGAGGATCTAACACTACACTCTAAGTCATTATTTTCCTCCTGACAGGACTTCGCATCATCAGAATAACAATGGAGCATTTTGTCCGTGTTACTTGTAAAGTTCAAATTCATCTCTAAGGTAGCATTCTCATTGGTTCCTGAGAGTGGTCCTTCCTTTTCATTGGCTGATTCTTTCTCATATGCTTCTATGTGTCTTGTCTTTTCACACGTTACTTCATCCTGCATTTCATGTCTTACGTCTGACATCTGCATCATATTTTCCGAATCCACTGCTTCCTCAGCACCTTCATCTAACTGATATAGTAATCCCCCTTCTTGCTCTCCGCTAATGACCTCTTCAGAGGGGTTGGATAGAGAGAGTCTCCACTCTGATAGGCTGTCCAAAG